TATTTATTTATTTTGAGGGAGAGTCTCAAGCTGTCACTCTGGCTAGAGTGCTGTGGCATTATAGCTCACAGCAACCTCAATTCTTGGGGTCAAGCGATCCTCTTGCCTCAGTTTTTTTTTTCTTTTTTTGAGACAGAGCCTCAAGCTGTCACCCTGGGTAGAGTGCCGTGGCATCACAGCTCACAGCAACCTCCAGCTCCTGGGCTCAAGTGATTATCTTGCCTTCACCTCCCAAGTAGCTGGGACCACAGGCACCCGCCACAATGCCAGGCTATTTTTGTTGCTGTAGCTGTCATTGTTTGGTAGGCCCAGGCTGGATTCTAACCTGCTAGCTCAGGTGTATGTGGCTGGCGTCTTTGCCGCTTGAGCCACAGGCGTCGGGCAGTCTCAGCTTTTTTTTTTTTTTAGTAGAGACGGGGTCTGGCTTTTGCTCGGGCTAGTCTCAAACTATCTATCGGCCTCAGCCTCCCAGAGTGCTAGGATTATAGGCATGAGCCACTGTGCCCGGCTGTTTTTTATAATCATAAACCCAATCTATAGTTATCTCCCTCATATTTGATTAACATTTTGTTATTCTTGCCTTTTTTATTCACTTTAGCTTTTTATTTATTGATTGAGACAGTCTCACTTTGTCACCCTCAGTAGAGTGATGTGGTGTCATAACTCAGCAACCTCAGAATCCTGGGCTTCAGCAATCCTCTTGCTTCACGCTTACCAGTAGCTGGGTCTATAGGCACCCACCATAGCACCTGGCTGTGTTTAGAGATGGGGGTCTTGCTCTAGCTCAGGCTGGTCTTGAACTCCTGAGCTCAAGCAATCTACCCACCTCAGCTTCCAAGAGTACTAGGATTACAGGAATGAACCACTGTGCCCAGCCTCACTTTAACTTTTTATTTTTTCTTTTTTAGAGACAGAGTCTCACTTTATTACCCTTGGTAGAGTAGGTAGAGTGCCGTGGCGTCACAGCAACCTCCAACTCCTGGGCTTAGGCGATTCTCTTGCCTCAGTCTCCTGAGTAGCTGGGACTACAGGCACCTGCTACAACACCCGGCTATTTCTTTGTTGCAGTTTGGCTGGGGCCGGGTTTGAACCCACCACCCTTGGTATATGGGGCTGGCACCCTACCCACTGAGCCACCAGCGCCACCCTATTTTTTATTTTCTTTAGACAGAGTCTCAAGTTCTCGCCCTGGGTAGAGTGCCGTGGAGTCATAGCTCACAGCAACCTCCAACTTGGGCTCCAGTGATCCTCTTAACTCAGTTTTTCTATTTTCAGTAGAGATGGGGTCGCACTTTTTGCTCAGGCTGGTCTCAAACTTGTGAACTCAAGCAATCCACCCACCTCAGCCCCCCAGAGAGCCAGGATTACAGGTGTGAGCCACCATGCCCAGCCCACTTCCCACTTCAGCTTTTTAGATAGCTGTCACTTTTTGGTCCCTATTTCATTGGCTTTTACAGTATATAATTGAATTACATAGTTATAGTCACATGTACAGTGTGGGACAAATATCACTCTGTGTGTACGTTAAAAAAATTTCTTTTAGGGCTGGGCACAGTGACTTATGCCTATAATCCTAGCACACTGGAAGGCTGAGGCAAGTGGATTGCGTGAGCTCAGAGTTTGAGACTAGCCTGAGCAAAAGCGAGACACCATCTCTACTAAAAATAGAAAAACTAAATAGCCGGGCATTA